GACAAAAATGGAAACCAAGTCTAGAATAAAGGAGTGAGAACCTTTTTGGACCACAATAATGGCTGAACCCAAAACCATGTTCTTCCCTGTTGTAGACCTGTCTCAAATAAGCGTGTGATTTCGTAAAACTTCTGCAAATTAAAAAAAACTAGTCCTTCAAACTTAAAACAGACACGGATCCCCAAAGGAAAAACACAATAATTAGTCAATCCTAAATAAACTTCTCTTTTGGAAGTGGAATATCTGAATAGGAATTGTGAGATCAACTCTTGACTTCACTCCTCCATCATACAAAGCCACAAACCATGAGATCAATGGAAAGTAATTCCCAATGAGAAACAAACATTTTCCCACCCACGCACATCCTCCTCTGAGCTGGCAGACCTTTTAATGGTAAACCATTTCATATGGGTTTTATGAACATACTGTATTGGAATCAAAGAACGTGCCATATGCAGGAGCTCCTGCAGTAACAAACCGACTACTTCAGCCAATTTTCAGTCAAATTTTAGGCTTGAAGTACAGAATAACATCTCAATTTTCTTCAATGTTTGAAATGTGCTAAAGATGATGATCAAGGTAACTATTTACTGTCCTACAAATATCCTGAGCAAATGACACAGGAGCAGCTAACTGGAGTACTCTTACTTAGAACAAATATCCTGAGCAAATGACACAGGAGCAGCTAACTGGAGTACTCTTACTTAGAATTTTCTTTTAATTCTAAATACTAATACAAAAACAGTATTTACAAAGATGTCTTTTAGAATATTAAGTGTTTTACTGTGCTGCTAACACTTTTGCGAAATAATAATAGTTACCATCTATGGCAGTGGTAGGAAACCTTCAGCTCTCCCGATGTTGTGGACTACAACTCTCAGAATGCTCTTACAGTCATAATGCTGCAAAAACATCAGGGGGGTGCACTTCTTAATATCTGGAGTGCCAAAGGTTGCCTACATCCATTCTATGGTGTGATGTATCCTGCTTTACTTGCCATGTAAGTGTTATCTGTGTGCTGAGAGTCTTGGCTGGCCTGTTGATGTATTGAGCAGAGCCAATCTAGGCAATCATTTTTGTGATTTTGTTGAATTAATGAATGGCTTGGATTTTTGGTTATCCAGAATAACTGCCTTCTGGTGGTGCATTTTACCAGGTGGTTACTTTGGGAAATGCAACGGTGAGACTTGGAGAGTGAATAGAAAATCACGGCTTCAACTTACTTTAGTCATACATAATCACATTGCTATGTTAGATATCGGTACACTAGATCTGTAGACATACTTTCTGGTAAATATTTTATATAAAAGCAGATTGTAGTAGCAAACCTTTACAGGTGAAAGATAAATGTTAGGGCTGGCCCTAATCTGATAAAGCTTAATCTGCACAATGAATGCAACAAAATAGAAAAATATGTATGTTTAGGTTTCTTCCGTTTTGAAGTAGGTTCATGTGGATTGTTGAGATAGGTATGGGAAGTTGGTTACCATTTTGTAATTTATGACTGAGTCTCATATCGAAGTTTCAATTTTTTGTGCCTATGAGCATAGAATTTTTCTGCTCCTCAATCACTTGTCTATAATTTTAATGTATCTGAAAATAAAGGGTCACCCAGAGTAGCGTCTTTGTAATCATAATTATGGTTCTGCAGAATGTGCAAATCTTTGTACTAACTTTTTTACAAAGTTAGGAAACAATACATTGAACATGTCTTACTGATCATTTGATGTTGATGCTGGTAGCCAGAGATATCCATTACTCCACAGCACTCTAGATATACCTACCAAAACTTCATCAAGTGAGCTACTTGCAAGGATTTTACTCTTCTCTTGATATTTAAAGTAGTGAAAGACTTGTCTGAAACTTGATCGGGTCTTCACCACCAAAACCTATATGTGAGAAGTACAATTTAGGATGAAAAATCATGGGTATGATTTAATCTTCTGTCTGCTCATATTTGAGTTTCAGGAATGATATGAATTGATCAACTGTATAAAGTATTTATTCTTGTAAAGAAACTGTGAAACAAACAAATATACATGTATTTAAGTATAATAAATTCCTATAATTCTTTTTAAAATTTAAAAAGACTTTGTTTGTTATTATATCACTCATTTTGCTTTGAAATTTTTTTCTTTGACTCCTTCGGAGGGGGAGGTGGTAGGCATCTAAAATATTAACTGAAGAGTCTAAAATATTTCTGTGTTTAATCATTATCCCTGTGTTTCCTAGCCTCTAATGAGTTTTGTGTAATTTTGTTATAGTATTCCTATATAAATTGATCGTGTTTCCCAAAGAGATACTCTAGGTATTTATCCCAATGAAGTGGTGATTAGACTTGTGCACTACAAAGAAATTTTGTTTGGCTGAACCACTTTGTCTGAAAAGAAAATTGAATTCAGGTAGTCCGATATTCGTCCATGTGGCAGTTTGACGAAAAAGGGATATGATAATGGTCCATTCAGAATACTGCAATTAACCAGGCTTTTTGTTTTGATTTGCTTTTGATTCTAACCTTATCTGCCAGGGGTAGGCAACCTTTGGCACTCCAGATGTTGTGGACTACATCCCCCATAATGCTCTTACACCCATAATGCTGGCAAAGGATCATGGGAGGTGTAGTCCTAAATATATGCAGTGCCGAAGGCTGCCTATGCCTGTTATATGCCATTCTAACCATAAATCAAATTCTGCCACCCCAACTTTACTTCTAACCCTACATTGGGACCTTAACAGAGCGATTACGAGTGATCACAACCCTCATCTTTAAAATGTGACATGCACTCTCTCACTAAAGTAAGAAAAGTCATTTGACTTAGAAAATTTTTCATTGTCTGTATTTTGACCTTGACTTGAAATTCACTTTGTATTCTCACCTTTAGTGAATAGTCCTGCCTGTGGTTGAATTTCAGAGCAGTCACAGAGCCTGGGAACCGATCATTAAATCATTTAGCAATACCCAGTGTCCCCAGATGCTGCTCCAACCATGTTAATGGTTTACAACTCACAAAGTTCTTGGAATGCAACAGATAGCTAGAGAATCATGGGTAGGTTGTAGTTCAGCAACATCTGGAATGCTAGAATTTGAGATGCCTGTTTTAAATCAGCAACGAACACCAAACTGCATCAATTGCCAAGGCTGAAAGTGGTGGCAACATACAATGTACACCAGCCATCACTTATGGGTTATGTATAGGATCTTATTATTAATGGAAATCTCTAAATAGTATATGACTAGAAGGGGAAAGCTAGAGAAGCTGGTATTAATGAAGATAAATGTGAAATAAATTAACTGGACAATTTATATACTTAACTAAAATGTGAGTTGTTTTTTTAAAGAATTAAAGTCTAACTGAGCCGGGAAAAGATTTATTTAAGAATTAGAGCATCACTTTAAAAACTTTTTATAAATGCTGGAATGGAATACATTTGTTTAGTCCTTCATAGACCCCATCCAGTGGCGTACATACCAGGGTCGCAGCTGCGACCCGGTATGTATGCCACTGTGGCCAGCCACTGCTCCTGGGTGGCCCAGGAGCCGGCCACCTCAGGGCCCCCCGAGGCTGGCCCTGGTATCACCGGGCAGGCAGGGTGGCGGGCACGCGAGAGAACACTGTCCCCTGAGTGCTTCCTCTTCAGCTCCCTTGCGCACCGCACTGATACCGGAGCCGGAAGATGACGTCATCTTCCGGCGCCGGCATCCCTACGCGGCATGCGAGGGAGCTGAACAGGAAGCACTCAGGGGAGAGTGCTCACGCGCCCGCCAGCCTGCCCGCCCGGTGACACCACTGGACCCCAGGGAATCCCCTCAGCACTCCAAAAGGTAAGGAGGCTGGGGGGATTACATTTTTTAGTTTTTGTGTTAGTGTGTGTGTGTTAGTAATAGAGTGTGTGTGTGTGTGTCTTAAGCACTTACCTTTCTCTAGTGCTGGACTCCCTTGGCACCGGGATTCTCTCTGCCTCTCAGCTCCGAATGCGCATGCATGGCAAGAGCCACGCGCGCATTCAAACCGCCCATAGGAAAGCTTTACTCAATGCTTTCCTATGGACGTTCAGCGTCTTCAGCGTCTATGATTTTCACAGTGAGAATCGCAGAAGCTCCTCTAGCGGCTGTCAAGAGGCTGGATTAACCCTCAGTGAAACATAGCAGTTTCTCTGAAACTGCTATGTTTTCAGCTGCAGGGTTAAAACTAGAGGGACCTGGCACCCAGACCACTTCATTGAGCTGATGTGATCTAGGTGTCTGTAGTGGTCCAAGTGTGTGTGTATCTGCATGCACTGGCGTACATACCGCGGTCGCAGCCCTTCGACCAGGTGCCCGCCAGGGGGAGGGAGAAGGGGGGGGGGGCATGGATCAGTTTTCGCACCAAGGCCCCATGGGTTGTGTGTACGCCACTGCCCCCATCCTAGCATTTTGAAATAAAATGCAGTGAAAACAAATCCATTTTAAAACAATCTCTCAAACAGAGATCAAGTCAGATGCATGCTGCCAAGTTGCGTTTTCGGTGTATTGTATATTGTGGCAAATGAACGATTGGAAAATTCTGGAATATAAATTTGAATGTCAGTTTGTCTACTATGGTGTTAACATTTCAAATTGGTTGTTAATAAATCTTAAAAAATGTAGTTGGTGAATAAGCCTAGTAGTGTTTAAGCAACATCATAATTTGCATCATTGTTGTTTTAATTTTGTTTACATATATTTATTTGCATTGTCTGTTTCATGTTCTGCCTACTGTGACCCTTTACACGTAATTGATGTCTAATCCATTAAACAAATGAACTATTTCAAAAACATTTTTGTATAGTATACATAGCAGGAAAAACCTCATTAATTCGACAACTGCATAAATTACCTTAGTAACATTCATCTATTCCCTCTCAGTTTCTGATGCCAGTTCCTACCGCTTTCCACATTTGGGGAATCTTTTTGACGTACAATGTCCGTACTAATGAACAGCTTAGTTGCCTAGCAACTAGGCTCTCCTTGCGTCATTCGGAGGACAGTGCAGTCACAGAGTGAGTAATCGATGAAAAGAAATAGCAAACAAGATCATTATAACAAGACCGCACTACAGCCTATCCTTTCCCACAAAATAATTGTTCTGAAATGAAAAATGAGAAAATAGCATTTAAAGCAGTTAAATCAGACAAATCATATATAAGATACATAGAAGCAAATAAAGCACGCAAAAAGGCAATTAGATGGATTAAACTAGAAAATGAGAAAGTGATAGCCAAAGAGAGCAAAACCAACCACAAAACAATTTAATAAAAACAAAGAGAACGTTACCTGCGCTCTGGCCTAAATCCCTATGTACATTTAAACAAAATGAAGGCTCTTTAGTTTTATTCCAATGGCCACTTGAATATATAAGCTCACCTGCCACGTCAAGGCAAGCCTCAAAAGGTGAGTCCTACACTAGCCATTAGATATGCTGATATTAGATATAGTAGGCTGATAAAGAGCCTCCATTTTGTTTAAATGTACATATTTAGGATTTAGGCCAGAGCGCAGGTAATGTTCTTTGTTTTTACTATGTATTTTGAGCTGTTGGATACTAAGCTACTGCTGCTGTAAGTGCGGTGCTTTATCTTTGTGTTTGTACAAAACAATTTAAGTACATAAATTCAAAAAAAAAAATAAAAAAAAAAAATTGTAGGTATACTGAAGATGGAGATGAAGACCAGGAAAAGGTAGACATTTTTAAATGACTATTTTTTCCTCTGTATATAGTAACTAGGAACCTATAGCAAGAGATATTCAAATGATTGTTGCAAATAACTTGCAGAAAAATTGTGATTGGATAGCTTAAGACACGGTGTTGCAGCAACTAAAAGAAAGTTAATGAGCACTTAAGGAGGTACGTGTGGAAATCTGTAAACCTCTGTTTTTAATCTTTCAGGATTCTTTTCAGGAATTGTACTGATGGATTAGAGGAAGGCAGATGTGGCTCCTATATTCAAAAAAGGTTCTAAATCTTTTCCTGGAGATTATAGACCTGTGAGTTTAACTTCACTGGCTGGGAAAGTATTTGAAGGGTTTTTAAGGTATAATTGTCAGGAATTCATTGGGAAGAACATTATTCGCAGAAATCAGTATGGTTTTATGAAGCATAGTGTGACAGATCCATCTAAGTACTATCTGCTGGTTCGTCTACTTTGTTATACATTCGTGGAATTACCTGCCCGTACGTCCCTGTTCATTTATTTGTTTATACCGAATAAAACTACCAAACGGCCGGCCACCCAGAAGAGAAGTGTGCTGCTGGTTAACCTATTGGCCTCAATTAGAACATTGTGGTTGACCGCAGACACCTCTTAATTGGAACCGTATGCTGGGTGGTCGTCGTTCGTATGTCGACCACGAGGCGGCAGCCATTTTAAACACACGAATGAACAGCGGTGTTCGACGATGAACTTATGGAACTCAAACCGGACACCTTTTCTACCGAACACCGCTGAAACCGCCGACCGCCCTTCTTATCATCGGGCATACGAACGCCGGTCAATTCAGGACTTTTTATTGTACGAATGGACTTAACCCAGATAGCCATCCCATGGAGTCATTAGTATACCAAAAGAACAGTGTGGAAGACTTTGACTCCATGGCGATTGAAATGTGTGCATTGGGTCTGAGCACTATTCGGTAGTAGTGTGCGCTCAGATCTAGGCTATCTGGGGATACGTTATACAAATTAAATGCATTCGGTAGTTTTACATTTATGGATTTTTATGTGTTTTTATTATACCATGTAAAATGGCGGTTTGCCTCTATCCCTGGAGATAATTGGATTTCTTCCCAATTATCTCCAGGATAGAGATGAGGGGTTTACCTGTACACAGGGGAGTGTTTATACCTGAGCCACTGTGATTGGCTACTGTACCTCCTTTGTCCCAGTCTTCCATCTGGTCCCCTAGGGGAGCCTTTGACAAAGGCGCTCGGGTAGCGCCGAAACGTGCGTCAGGACTTATGCCTTATTTTAAACCACAGCACTTAATTTAAGCACTTTAGGGGTTAGAGAGAAATGATTGAGACTTTATGAGAGATTTATTTAGAGTGGTGGGTAGTTTCTACAGATGGACTCCTTTATTCTAGG